AGTTAGACCCTGTGCCCCTGCCCCTCCAGCTGCTGCGGCCTGCCTGCCTCCAGCGGACAAAAACGCAGCACTGGCCTCAGGCCTCTTTCCACTGGCTCGCTCGCTGGCTTGGGGGCGGGGGTGCTGCCGGCTGCCTGCAGGAGGCCACCGGCTCTGGGACACTCCAGGCGGCAGCCCCAGCGCTCCTGGCATCGGCTCCTGGCCCTGCTCACCTGCAGCAGCTTCACCCCAGAGGCCTGGACACCTGCAGCAGGTTGGCGAGGAGGAGGGACCGTGGCGCCCGGGGAGACTTGGCAGCCCTGTCCTCCCTCTCACAGGTTTTCCTTGGCAGCGGCGGGGAAGAGTGCTCCCCGGGGCCGCGTGCCCACGCTGCTCGCCAGGGAGGCCCTGCGGGGCTCGGCGCTGGCTGCCTCCCAGGAGGAGCGGCCGAGGTCACGGGCCCTGAGCCGCCGACTCCTCTTCCTTCAGCTGGGGCCCAGGGTGAGGCGGGAGTGGGCAGGGGGGCCCAGGGGCCCAGAGGCCATTCTAGGGGCCTGGAGCCACCTGCCCGCCCACCCACAGGAGCTCGTGGCCCCTCCTCTGCCCCAGGGCCCAGAAGAGCAGGCCCAGCACGTGCAGGGGACACTTGGCCTCTGCGTCTCGTGAGCACGGGCGGCCAACGGGGCCATGGTTTATTCGGCCCACGTGGTGTTTTTGAGAACTTTGAAGCAGCATCAGAAGGGTTCACACAAAACCCCTGAGGCTGGACTCTCTTGGCCGCAAGAGAGCCGCCGCCCCAGACTTCCCCCTCACCCGGTCACAGCAGGAAGCCGAGGAGGGGCTCTGCCATGCCCTGCGCCCACGGTGAGGCCAGCGACGCCCGTGCTGCGGCGTTCACGTGGCTGTTCCCCTTTCAGTGGCGAAAGGCTCTCTGTGGCCACATCTGCATCACAGGGATGGGAAAGACAGGTGCGGGCGGGGGACTGTGCTTCTTGTGCCTCGCGCCACCCGCCCCGGCACTCCCTGCCGGGCCCTGCGGGCCCCTGAGCTTGCAGCCCTTGTCTTGGGGTGGCAAGACTTCCCACCAAGGGCGCCTTGGGCCTGACAGCAGCCACGGGCTGAGCACGTGACTGGGGAGTTCTCCCACCCCTGTGGGGACCTTCCCAGGATCCAAGCTCACACCCCGCCCCGCCCCAGCAGCCGGGCACGTGCCGCCAATAACAAGGCCTGCTTCTCTGCTCCCATGGTCTTGAGATGGCCCAAGCTGCAGCACGACCCGGCCTCGGCCCGGCCCAGCCTCTCCAGACCCCACAGCCTGCGGGGCTCCTGCAGAGGCAGAAGGCCAAGGGGCTGCCTGGGCTGGGCCTGCACGCTGTCCCCTGAGACGGGGTGGGAGAAGCCTGAAGCATCACTCCTGATAGATGTGCATCCCTTTTGCCCCACCATGACACAAGGTCCTTATTCCCGGGACCTGGAAATGTTACCTTACAGGACAACAAAGGACTTCACAGAGACAATTAGATTACAGATCTTGAGACAGGACATCACCTGGGATGATCTGGGCGGGCCCTGGTTGCAATCACATGCGTCCTGGGAACAGGGAAACTGAGGGGCATCGACATGCACACACAGAGGAGGAGCTGGCGATGGGACCCCAGGGGCAGAGGTCAGAGCGACATGGCTGCAGGCCGAGGGATGGCAGCAGCGGCCAGCCGCCAGGGCTGGCGAGGAAGGGATTCCCCACTCGGGCCTCTGCGAGGCACGTGGCCCGGACAACGCCTTGATTTCAGTCCCGTGATATTTGTTTCAAACTTCTGCCCTTCAGAACCGCGAGGGGACACACTGCTGCTGTTGAAGCCGCCCAGCTGGCGGCAATCCGTGAAGTGGCCTGAGATGTGGGAGCGTGGTGTGCCAGGACCATCAGGCCGGGGCTTCGCTCCCCGCACCCACCAGCAGCGCCTTCCCCTCTGCGACCGCGGGCCACGGGCTGGCAGGCGGCAGCCGGGCCAGGGCTCAGGCAGGAGCCCGGAACTGGGGCAAGTTCATGTGCAGGTGCGAATGCACACACGCCCCAGAGATGCCGCTGTCACAGAGCACCCGGCACCAACACGCTGCCCAGGGGCGCGGGGCTGGCTCTGGGGGAGATGGAGAGCAGCACGGGCTGGTGTGCGCGAGAGAGACCTCTCCCCAAGAGCCCCAGGCTCTGAGTTCTGCCTTCCTGGCCCAGCCAGGCTCCCGGGCCCAGCAGAGCTCAGCAGGGCAGCTTCTGCCACACCCACACAGCCTTTGTGGAGAGACAAGTCCTTCCCCTTTTCCTTAGCCCCTTGCTCATCCCACACCCTCCTTCAGGACCCAAGAGTGACACTGGCGACACTAGGCTGTGAAGCACACGCCCGACACACTGGCCCAGGTCTGGAACCATGATAAAGCCTTCATTTTCCAGCTGTTTTCGTGGGCAATCTGAGAGCCCGCAACTACCCTCAGGTGAAGGCAACTGAGTGATGGCGACTTTCTGAGGCTCGGAGAACCCCTGACGCACCCCAAGAAGCAGCTGACTGGTTGCTCCAGGGAAACAGGACACCGCGCCCCATCATCCTGGAGGAGACGTGCAGGGGCGACGGGCCCACCTCACCTTCAGCCGGGCCAAGGGGCCCCTTCCCCAGGGCACCCATCACGCTCACTGCTCATCAACAGTAGCGGGGTAGTTCAAATGTGCTTTCAGGGGTTGCGGGGAGAGGGCTTGGCGGCCTCGTGCCAGAGCTACATTGACATGCCAGAGTCCCCGTCGGAAGTCACCGGGAGAAGGGGCTCCCTACCGCACAGGCACACACACAGGTCCCCGGCTCACGTTTTCTTGCAGAAAAACACAAGGAGCAAAGGCAGCCAGCCAAGGACACTGCTTTCCCATTTGTCCCTAACTGTGGGCCCTCACTGGGCCCAGGCTGACAGAGCACTGGCCTGTGCCATGTGATGTCACCTCGGGCCCTCAGCCCAACCCAACATAACATGAACCTGGACGTCCTCCAGCCAGTGAGTGACTCAGCCCTGGGCCAGGCGGGAGCAGTCAGACACATCCAGGGAGAAATGTGCTGTCCGCGGGCCAAATCGCCCACTCAGGGTCAGGCTGCCCCTGGGCAGGGACTTCAAGGAAAGGGGCCTTGGCCTAGAGCCTACACACCCACAGCCCGGGCCCGAGGCCCAGGTTCCCCTGTCCCTTCCAGCACGGCTTCCGCCCCCAAACGGTGTGACCAGCCTTCCTCAGCATCTTCTAAGCCTGTGGTTTCTAGACTTCTTCTGAGTTTGAAATTCCTTTCTTAAGTTCCGAGTTCCAAGCTCTCACCAAAGTAGGTGGATAAGAGAACGTGGGGGCGGGGAAGAGTTGACAGAAGAAGCCCGAAGACCAGCAGAAGTACGGCCACTAAGGCCAGGCCGGCCCGGCCATGGGGGAGGGCTGTCCAGGGCAGGAAGGCATGTGCCACAAGCTGGGATTGGAGACTCGCCCAGGGCACCGGCAGCCCCGCCCCTAGGATGAGCCAGACCCTCGCGACCACCAGCAGAGGCCAGCCCAGAAGCCCCAGGGCCAAAGCACAAAGTGGCAGGACCTCAGCTGTTTGCAACACAATGACAGATGAGAAGACGAGGCCAGGGGCCCAAAGTGGCCCAAGGGCAGCCGGCCTTCAGAGAGCAAGGCCAAGGCCCTGGTGGTCCCTGGTCGGAGGCACTTCCCCCGCCTCTTGCAGTTGCACACACCCCAGGGGTTACTCTTCATTCCTCCCCGTGCAGAGAAGCCCGAGGGGGAACGAGACAGGAGAGGCTGAGGCTGGGGAAAGCCGGGCAGCAGAGGCACCGCCGTCCACAGCCCAGGCAGACAGCGATTTATCACCGGGATGAAGGGGCCGCCAGAAGTATTGATCAGCTCCAGAGAGCACTAGGCTTCCTGATGGAACAATTCCTTTGCGAAGATATGTGACACCGCTCCTTGAAATTAGAACGGTGCCCTGCCAGGCTGCACCCAATTTACCCGTCAAGCTGGGAAGGCAGAGACCGAAGATAAATGAGCCAGGGCTGCCAGGGGTGAGGGCAGACTCGCTGCCAGTGAGGGCGGGGGGCCGGCCCAGCGGCGCGCTGGGGCTCAGTGAAGCATGCAGACGCGCCTGACCCAGGACCACGGCCCTTGTGCCTGCTGCCACCTGCCACCGGCCAGGGGCCCAGGACCTGAGGCCGAGGTCTGAGCCCACCATACAAGAGCCCGGCGCAGGCAGGGTGGTCTCATCCAGGCCCTGGGGTCCTGGGTCCTGAGAGGCCTGCTGGGACCACAGTCAGACCCTAGGCTGGCCTCACGGTAACCTGTGACCCGAGGTCCCCGGCACGCTGCAAGATCCGGGCCGGCCAGCAGGCCCGGGCTCCCGGAGGGCTCCGAGAGGCTGTGACCAGGGGTGGACACCGAGCCTAACCAGCAGCCCTTCCCACAGTCCTGGCCCACAGTGCACGTGGTTCTGTGTTGAAAAAGACGAAACCGTGCAAGTCTGAGCAGGCTGGGGAGGCTGCTGGGAGCACCCAGCCTTCGTGATGTGCTCCTCTCTCCCCACAGGCTGACGGGGCCCTCGGGACTCTCTCTGCAAGCGGCCAGGGATGAGCGGTCCCCGTGGAAGGGAGAGCGGGTGGCACGGAGGCCGGGGAGAGGGACTGTCCAAAGGCAGCATGGGGACATCTTCAGAGGCACAGGGTCACAGACATGGATTCAGGTCTTGGGCTGGGGGCTGCAGGCCTGGTCTGGGCCTCCTTTGCGCGCTGACACTGCCCTGTCCTTGGGCAGAAGGAGGTGGACCCTCCGGCAGCTTTATCCGCTCTGGAAGCCCTACACCTGCAGGTTTGTGGCCCACATGCACCCCGGCACCCACACTGTGCTGCAGGGTCGACGAGGCAGGGCTCAGCCTCAGCCTCGGACCAGGCCTGCAGAAGGGGTGCCTGGGTCCCCAGGGGAGACATCCAAGGCTTACCATGCAGCCTGCATACCTTACCTGTATCCAGGGCTTGTGCCCCGCCCAGAGAGGGGAGTCGGGGGCTGGATGGCCGGCGATATACCACGTGCACACGACCCTGCTCAGCCTCCTGCGCCGCCAGCCCCTTCTCCAGTGGCTCGATGAAGAACTCCTCCTCCTCCATACGGATCAGGCCAGCCTGCAGGGCAAAGACGAGAAGGTTCAGGTTCCCGGAGCACAGCAGGCAGGGGGAGCGGTGAGGGGGCCCAGAGGGCAGCACTTCCCGCCTGGCAGAGCCCGGTGCTGGAGCTGGAACCCCGGGCCGGAAAGGTCACAGACTGGGGCCTTGGGGCTGCATCGGCCCAGAGCCTCCGCTTCCAATCACCGAGGCCGGGGTCACAGGACTGTCTGGGGAAGGGACTCTGCTAGATTATTCCACCCCCATCTTCCAACTCTCCTCATCTGGGTTTTTAAGGCCAAGCTGTCAAGAACAGCCGGAAGGAACTAAGTACGGCTCTAGGACGGTGTGTGGCTCCAGGGGGACACCAAGATCCACCACAGAGGGACCGGTGCCACCCTACCCCCAGGAGCCCCAAGTCCAAGACAAAGGTCACACTGTCAGCCAGCGCTGGATCTACCCACAGACATGCTCAGTGTACCCCCAACAGTATTTTCAAAGTTGTGAACCCAATCCTCAAAGGGACCAGATTTCATGTTTCAAAAATAGAATTCCAGCTTTCCCTGGAAAATGCAGGTTCAAACGGCTGGGGCCTCCACGTTGCCAGGCAGGGGCGCCGTGGGTGGGGCTTGCGTGCCCCTGCCGCGAGCCGCAGCCCGCACTGTCCCCGCTGCGCATCCTTTACCGGCCTCAGGGACAGCCCAGGCTGCAGCAGCTGCACTGCTGCCTCCCGCAAGGCCGCCACAGCGCCCCTGCCTGAGCGCTGCTGGGCCCGCCCCTCGGACTCCGGGCGCCTGCACCCTGGCTCTCCAGGCTCGCGGGCCTGCCCATCCCGCCTGCGCACCAACCCCCCGCCCCGGGCGCACACCTTGCGTGCGTGCGTCTCCAGGGCAGCCCCATCCTCCCCACACGGGAGGCGTGGCCAGGCCTCCCTGCCCCCAAACCGACCTGGCCCTCAGCTTGGGAGGCCCTGCTCCGGCCCTCCGCTCTGGCCATCTGGTCAACTCCGATTCTCCCTTCGGTCACTGGCTCAGCCCCCCCAGCCTCCACTCCACATGGCCCTGCCCCCCTCCCCTGACCATGCTTGGTCCCTGCCCCGTCAGGCTCCCACACTTGGATTTTTTGGTCCAGTGTCCACACACCAGTCGTCCCACACTGGGGCCCCCGCTGGGTCAACCTGCAGATACATTTCTTTCATATCACTCATTTATGACTCATTCAGGGGTATGTTTTGGTTTATTAAAAGCCACTTTATTGACATGTAAACAGCTGTATGTATTTAATGTCTACAAACCCATGAGTCAGGGGATCAGGATACACTTGTGAAACCAACACCACTACCTGTCAAGCCCACACACATGCCTGTCACCTCTCAAGGCGCCCTCCTACCCCCTCTATCATTACCGTTTTTACGTCAAGAACACAACCTAAGCCGACCCCTGTAGCAAACGCTGCGCGCACGATGGCGGCGTTGGCTGTGGGCGCTGCGCCGTGCAGTGGGTCCCCAGGGCTCGTCTGCCCTGGGCGGCTGGAACCCGTGCGCTTGGACCACGGCTGCCCGTGCCCCTCCGCCAGGGTAAACGGTACCAAACATTTAAAGAAGAACGCTGGCTACCGCGTTCCCCTCTCCGCTTCTGCAGTCTGACTAGTTTAGTTTCTGTATATGTCAGGTCATGCAGTATTTGTTTTCCTGAGGCTGGCTTATTTCACTTAGCCTAATGTCCTCCGGTTTCATCCATGTTGTCACAAATGACATGATTTCCTTCTTAATAAAACCTGAATAACATTTCATGGAACATATGAACCATATTTCTTTATCAGTTAGTTGTCCATAGACGACCACTTAAATGCTTCCATGTCCACTATAAAAAGTGCTCCAATGAACGCTGGGGTGCGGCAATCTCTTTAAACCTTCTATCTCTTTCATTTTCTTTGGATAGAGACCCTGAAGGAGGACTGCTGGGTTATACGGTAGCTCTAATTTTAAGTTTCCGAGGAACCTCTCTACTATTTTCCATAGCGACTTATCCAATTGACAGTCCCACCAGCACCGCACAAGTGCTCCCGGTTCCCCACACACTCCTCCACACCGGTTTTCTTTTCGCCAACAGCCATTCTAACAAGTGTGAGTTGTTATTTCATTGTGGCTTTGATGTGCATTTCCCTATTGATCAGTGAAATTGAGCATCTTTTCAGGTACTTGGCCATTTGTATGTCTTTGGAAAAAACATTTGTTCAGATCCTTTGTCCACTTTTTAATCAGATTATTATTTGCTATTGAACTGAATGAGTTCGTCATGTTTTGAATATTAACACCTTATCCAATATGTCTTGAAACTATTTCTTTCATTCTATATGTTGCCTTTTCATTTTATTTCCTTTGTTGTGCAGAAGCTTTTTAATTTTAGCTCCACTTTTAAATTTAAAAGTGTGCTATTTGTTTTATGGTTTTAGCTCTTACAGTTAAGTCCTTAACCCATTTCAACGTAACTTTCATGAGTGCTGTAAGACAGGGGTTCGATTTCATTCTTCTGCATGTGAATATCCAGTTTTCCCATCACCAATTGTTAAAGAGACTACCCTTTCTCCATTGAGTATTCTTGGCTTCTTATCAAATACACATTGATCACATATGTGCATGGGTTTATTTCTGGACTCAATTCTGTTTCACTAGATGTCTCTTTATTTCAGTACCATGCTCTTTTGATTACTATAGCTTTGTAACATAACTGAAGTTAGAAAATGTGATGCCTCAAGCTTTGTTCTTTCTCAAGATTGCTTAGGTTATTCAGGGTCTTAAAAATTTCAGGATGTTTTTCTACTGGAATATGAAATTTTAATAGGGATTGCATTGAGTCTATAGATGGCTTTGGGTAATACAGGATTTTGAACAATATTAACTCTTCCGTTCCATGAACACGGTATATCTTTCCATTTATTCGCATCTTGTTCAATTTTTTCATCAATATTTGTAGTATTTCATGTATACATCTTTCAATTCCTTGGATAAATTTATTCCTAAGAATTTTAGATGCTATTATAAATAAGATTGTTTTCTTCATTTCTTTTTTAGATATTTCATTAGTGTATAGAAACTTAGTTGATTTTTGTATGTTGATTCTGTATCCTGAATCTGACTGAATTTGTTGGTTACTTCCAACAATTTTTTTGGTGGAGTCTTTTGGAATTTTTATGTACCAGATCATGTCACTAGGAAACAGACACAATTTTACTTCTTCCTTTTCATTTATGTTACCTTTTGTTTATTTCTTGCCCGATTGTGCTGCCTAGGACTTCCAGTGCTTTGCCAAATAGGAGTGGTGAGGGGTAGGCCCAATTGTCTCACTCCTGATCTTAGGGGGAAAGCTTTCAACCCTTCACCATTAAGTGTGATGCTCGCTGTGGGATTATCGTGTATGGCCTTCATTATGGTGAGGGATGTTCTTCTATATCTAATTTTTAGGAGATTATTATCATGAAAGGAGGTTAAATTTTATGAATTGCTTTTCAGCATCTATTGAGAGTATCAAATGATTTTTATCTTTCATTCTATTGCTGTAGTATATCACATTTCTTAATTTGCATATGTTGACTCATCCTTGGATCCTAGGGGTAAATCCGTCTTGATCAAGGTGTATGGCGTATGATCCCTGTAATGTACTCCTGAACTTGATTTGATAATTTTTGTTGAGAATATTTGCATCTATATTTATCAATGACAGTAGCCTCGGTTGTCCTTTTTTGTAGTATCCTTACCTGGCTTCAATGTCAGGGTGATTCTGGCTTCATAGAATGAGCTTAGAAGGGTTCCCTCCTCTTCAACTTTTTTGGAAGCGTTTGAGAAGGACAGGAGTTTATTCTTCTTTAAATGTTTGGTAAAATTTACTACTGAAGCCATTTGGGCCTGAGCTTTTCTTTGTTGGGAGACTGATTACTGATTCAATTCCCTTACTTGTTATTGGTTTATTCAGATTTAATATTTCTCAAGATTTAGTCTCGGTAGGTTGTCTTGGTAGGATTCTAGGAATTAATCCATTTCTTCTAGGTTGTTCAATTTGTTGGTGTATAACTGTTGATAGTAGTCTCTTCTGATCTTTTGTATTTCTGTAATGTTAGTTGTAATTTCTCCTCTTTCATTTATAATGCTTTTTTGAGTCTTCTCTTTTTTTCTTGGTAAATCTAGCAAAAGGTCTGTCAGTTCTATTTATCTTTTCAAAAAAAAACTCAGCTCTTAATTTCACTGTCTTTTGTTTTTCTGGTCTCTGTTTCATTTATTTCTGCTCTGATCTATGCTATCTCCTTCCATCTTCTAACTTTCTATTCCTCATTTTCTAGTTCCCTGAGATGTAAGTTAGATTCTTTATTTGAAATCTCTTTTTTTTAATCACAACACTTATCACTATAAACTTTCCTGTTAGAACTGCTTTTGCCATATCACACAAGTTTTGGTGTACTGTGTTTCAATTTTTGTTTGTTTTAAGATTTTTTTAAAAATTCTCTTTTGATTTTTCTTTGACCCATTGGTTGTTCAGGAGTGTGTTGTTTAATTTCCACATATTTTGTGAACTTTTCCGTTTTCCTCCTGCTACTGATTTCTAATGTCACAGCATTGTAGTCAGAAAAGAAAATTGATATGATTTTGCTCCTTTACACTTGCTACTGCTTGTTTTTTGACTCAGCATAGAGTCTACCCTGGAGATTGTTTCATGTACACTTGAGAAGAATGTATATCCGCTGCTGTTTGATGGGATGCTCTGTTATGTCTGTCAGGGCAGTTTGGTCTAAAGTACAGTTCAAAGCTAGTGTTTCTTTATTGATTTTCTATCTAGATGATCTACCTATTGTTGAAAGTGGGGCAAGAAGTCCCCTACTGTTACTATATTTTTTAATCTATCTCTTCCTTCAGATCTGTTAGTATTTAACTAATGCTTTTAGGTGCTATAGTGTTGGGTGCATATATTTTTACAATTGTTATATTTTCTTGATGAACTGACCATGTTACCACCATATAATGACCTCTT